GCTTTCGAAAATCACTCGCGCGATGACGGCAGAGCATGAAACAAAACAAAGAACTTCAAACATATGATTTTAGAGTAGATCCGCGAGGCTGAGTGAAAACGAAAACGGAGGAGGCGCGCCGGGCGAAATGCGAAGACGCCGTGAACAGAAAACGGGCGCAAAAAAACAAAACATGGCCACCCTTCTCGCACACAAACAAAAATCGAGCAAAACGCACGGCTCGTGCCCGCGCGAGAACAAAACACCAAACACAACATAGGCCTCATTCTCCAAACGGGCAGGCCCGCGCCTACTGTGTAGAGTCCGCGCAAAACGTGTTCCCGAACGCGTTTAGAACGAAAAACAACAAGAAAACGAAAACAACAGGAACAAAAACAAGTAAACAGTGTTTAGCTTGAGCCCTGTGAAGAAGATCTGAGCAAGATCTGAGGAAGATCTGGAGGAGATCTGAGGAAGATCTGAGGAAGATCTGAGGAAGATCTGAGGGGAAGATCTAGGTGAAGATCTGCGGGGAGATCAAGGGGAACATCTGGGGGAAGATCTGGGTGAAGATCTGGAGGACAAATCGGAGGAATAGCTGGGGGAAGATCACCGTGGCCATTAAAAAAACTAGGTTTTCGAGTATCACTCGCGCGATGAAACAAGGAATGAAACAAAACAATAATTGTTTTAATGGTTTTAGAGTAGGTCCGCGAGGCTGAGCCCGGACATGCCGACCTATGTTTGTTGAACTCCCTGTATATATATACACACACACACATATATATACGTACGTACATGTGTGCATGCGTACATACATGTATGCATGCATGCGCGCATACATACATGCATACATTCATGCGTGTGTGCATACGGTCATACATGTATCCATGCATACGTACATGCATACGTGCATGCATACATACACACATACACGCATACAAACATACATACATGCATGCATGCTTATCATACGTTCAGGCATACATACATACGTGCATCCGTGAATGCATGCATGCATGCATACATACACAGACACACAGACAGACAGACACACACACACACATAAATGAATACACCCATACACCCATATACACACACGCACACGTACCTACATACCTACATATCTACATATCGGCATGCCTACATACATGCATACCTTCATGCCTATATACCTACATATCTGCGTATCTACATAAACATACATACATACGTGACGTGCGTGCGTGCGTGCGTGCGTGCGTGCGTGCATGCATACACACATACGTGTCCGCCGCCACCTGCGGTTTACCACCGTGGTGCACGGCGTGCTAAATTTGCGAGTGGCATTCGTTCTTTCTAAAGGTTCCCAATGGGGTCTCGGCCAATCGCGCCGATAACCCGGAAAGAGCCACAAGGCCACCGTAAAGTGGGAGGCAAGGCCCCTGACGCCTCCAAGACGGCCTCGATTGCCCAAGATGGCCTCCAAGATGCCTCTAAGACGGCCAATACAAGTCAAGATGGCCTCCAGGACGTTCCCAAGACGCCTCCAAGACATCCAAGATGGCCCCAGCACGGCCCAAGATGTCCTCCATGCGGCCCAAGAGGCTCCCAAGACGCCCTAGAGGGCCCCAAGAGGATCTCCTGCGTGCGTGCGTGCGTGCGTGCATGCATACACACATACGTGTCCGCCGCCACCTGCGGTTTACCACCGTGGTGCACGGCGTGCTAAATTTGCGAGTGGCATTCGTTCTTTCTAAAGGTTCCCAATGGGGTCTCGGCCAATCGCTCCGATTACCCGGAAAGAGCCACAAGGCCACCGTAAAGTGGGAGGCAAGGCCCCTGACACCTCCAAGACGGCCTCGATTGCCCAAGATGGCCTCCAAGATGCCTCTAAGACGGCCAATACAAGTCAAGATGGCCTCCAGGACGTTCCCAAGACGCCTCCAAGACATCCAAGATGGCCCCAGCACGGCCCAAGATGTCCTCCATGCGGCCCAAGAGGGTCCCAAGACGCCCTACAGGGCCCCAAGAGGATCTCTAGGACTCTAGGAGGCCAAATCAATGATGATCCTTAGATTGTTCCCGACCCTCCTGTGTTGGGTTCTCGTGTTGAATAGAACACTGTTGTCCCCAGCTCCTCCCTCCACCCCCCCCCCCTCCTCCTGCCTCCTCCTACGCTGGTCCCTGAATGGCCGCGAACTGCGCAACTGTCGCCACGTTCGTGGGCTCCTGGGAGGCATGGCGGAGCAGTGGAGTACGTGAATACAGCCGAGACCTCGCAGCTCCCTGGGTGGATGCTCAACTGTCGCCACTTCCGTGGGCTCCTGGGAGGCACGGCGGAGAAGCGGAGTACGCGAATCCAACCGAGACCTCCTCCCTCCCACACGCCTTCCCCAGCACGGTGCGCGCGCCGGGGGCGGCGCTGGAGGCGCCGCCAGGGCTGCGGAGAGGGAGCCTAGCGCCGACTCAAGAAATCATCAGCGCGGACGTCCCAAAGCTTCTGCTCGTGCAGACTTCCCCTAGACAGCGAATGATGCAA